CTATAATTCAAGGGACAGTGTTGGCCTAGCGATATTATTTCTGACAATTTTGATTTGAGCTGCTTTTTAAAAAGTAATTTGTGTCCCAACTATTCTGAATCCACAGACACAATCACACGTCAGTGGTATCATATGCTATTTAAATAAGTAAGTGTTCCCCTGCTTTGGCATTTGACACCAAATCTAAATCACATGTTTATCTGTTTGAGTTTGTTCTTCAAGAAGAAAATATTGAAATTTGACATGTAGTGCAGAAAATGAAACTTCTATTTTACGATGTTAACCAATGATCCACACCATCACAGATTTTCACATGCCTGAAGAGAAACCCTAACTGTCTGTAGGAGACTGGAATAATAATAGGAACAACTGCGTTTGCTTAGTACAGGGCTCAAGTGGACGTTTACTCTTGCTTTCCAACCCCACTGTGTGTCCTTTCATTCTCATTTCTTTTCTGAAGGATTTTTCTAAGTGGCTCAGTTTAGGAGTAAGTTACTTGCAGCTGAAGCAGCATCTCTGGTAGCACAGGCTAAAAGCCACACAGAGATCTTCCATGAGGATTTGTACTTACCTTCTCCCAGATTACACAGTGACTTGTGCTCTTAAGGATTGAAGCTCCTTAAGGGCCTGTGCCCTCTTACTCACCAGGAAGAACTTGTAAGGAAAAATTCCTTACACTCCATCAAACATTGTTGCATTTTCTTTTCCTTTTTTTTTTTTTTTTTTTTTTGAGATGGAGCCTCACTCTGTCACCCAGGCTGGAGTGCAATGGTGTTGTCTCAGCTCACCGCAACATCCACTTCCCAGAATCAAGCGATTCTCTTGCCTCAGCCTCCTGAGTAGCCTGGACTACAGGTGTGTGCCACCACAACTGGGTAATTTTTGTATGTTTAGTAGAGATGGGCTTCTACTATGTTGGCCAGGCTGGTCTCGAACTCCTGACATTGTGATCAGCCCGCTTCAGCCTTCCAAAGTGCCGGGATTACAGATGTGAGCCACCACACCCAGCCATCTTTGCATTTTCTAAATATTTCTGTGGTGTCTAAGCAGCTCCTTTACTCTATGTGTATTTTAGAGTCTTTTAACTGAGGGGTACACTCGCCAGGTAAGTATTCCATTTTTGTGCAAATACTGAATTTTTGGATAGTGAAAGAGGAGACCTTGAGTATATCCTAAGAAACAAAATTGTTGTATGGCCTCAGATTTTGGATTCTTCTAGTTTAGTACTCTATGAAGTGGCATTGTCATGAGTGATGCTGTTTGGGGGTTGACTCCATGATGCCAATCTTAGATACCAACGTCTTTCTTCTTTTAGTGATTATTTATGCTCCATTAGTGACAACTCTAGTCAAAACATCTTTACATCTATTTATATTTTCTGACTATATCCAAAGAACTTTCATATATTTCCAGTGCTGCAACTAGAGTCCAGGTCAAGATTTTGCTCAACAGCAGGATTTCTAAAACAACTTCCTACACATTTCTCTCACCTCCAGTCCAAGGCTGACTTAACAAGGGACTAGGATGTTTCTTCTTCTAATGCAAATATGATCACCATTTGCCTTCATAACACTCTTCAATAGAGCCCCTTGTCCTCACAGCACATTCCAAACATTTCTCCTCATTCAAGTTTTCCATCATATGCCCCCTTTTTTGTTCTCCCACACTTGACATTTTGTGCCCACCTCATCACGTGGTGTGTGGAGATAGATGTATGTACATCTTTATTGTCACAGAAGAATGAGAAGTTTCTAAAGATAAGAACTAAATATTATATTCATATTTGTGTTCCCATGCCCTAGTGGAGGAATCACATAGCAGGAGTTCAGTAAATACACACTAAATGGCTACCTTGAGCTAGAAGTCCTTTCTTTTCTGGAAGATGGAATTGTTTTTAATAGATGAACTAAACTGAAGGACATAGACACCCTCAGAAAAGATGGTAAGCATTAAACATAGATTGTTATTATTATTCACAGTTTATATTGGGGGAAATGTTCACAACCATAAATGATCCCATATTTTGAGATCTTTTGAAGCCTTATGGGGAGAGCCTCCTACCTTCTGCCATATCTCTTTTTCTACCTGAGGTTCTCCAGAATGCTTAGACCTATCTAGATCTCAAGGATTACATCTCTTCTCTTCTTAGCTACAAGATACCAGGCCTATGTCTTTGGTTTTAGAGTAAGATCATAATGGAATGAATATGAATAAAATCTGATCAGCAATCTCATCAGAAAGTACTTTGCTTGTATAAAATCTACTTTGGGTGAAAAAACATCTAGGAATATACTTTTCATACCAACAGAAACCATGACAAAATCCCCCTACATTTTCTTGATTCCTCCTTCTCTAAAATAGACAGCCAGTATGGGTAACTTTTCTTAATTTAATCAAGACAGTGAAAATAAATTGAAAGGAAGGCTTTTTAAAGTAGGGTAGATAAGGGTACATTTCTTCAAATAATGCTATACATAACACTAAAGAAAACCTTCAACTGAGGAAGCTTGAAAATATATACACACACATATGAACAGAAATATTTAAACATACATTTGAAATGTAAAAGAAAACATTAAATTGTGTAAGTAAGCCATTATGGCTTGCATTTGTAGTTCATGGAATCTTAAACAATTGGCAGTGCCTTGGAATTCATCTAGTACAGTGTTTTTTTTATTTGTGCATCTCAGAACTGGATTTTCTAAGCAAACCAGAAATTGTGAGAAAAGGAAAGGAGAGCAGAAGGGACCTAATAAAACATGTGTTGACCCTAAACCAGACAACAGCTTAAGCCTGGTGAGCTCCTGTTTTCTGTGCTTGATGCTGGGCTTTCTCCTAAGAATAAAATATAAACATCTTTCAGGGGCTGGAAGATCTAGAAAGATCTGGTCCATGTCTATTACTACAACATAATCCATCTCCATTTTCCTCCCCTCCTACGGCACCTTGTTTCTCCCATCCATCCAGCCTTTTCCTGCTACAGACATTCCCCTTGTTTATTCTGCCTAGATCATTCTTCCCTCAGAGCTTCACAACGCTGACTTGTTGTCACCATCATGTCTCAACCTAAGTGCCATCTCCTCAGAAAGAGACCATCCCCAACCTCCTTAGATAAAAGGTGTCTCTTGGTTACTGTCTGAATTACTCTCAGTTCTTACCCTTGCTCTAGGTTGTGTCTTTTGCTCAAGAAGAATCTGGACCTTCCTCTAAGCTCAGCAGCTGATAGTGTGGGAACCAGGGCTAGAATTTTGGTTAACTAAAATTACTTCACCTGTTTTGGAATCTGTAGAGGTTATGGTTTAAAAACATTTTTAAAGGAAGGCAGGTAGAATGGTTCAAGAAGAAAGCATGCATTTGGAATCAACATTTATGTGGAGTCATAAGAAGAGAAAAAAATATAACAACTTGAAGAAGCATACCTTTTTCTAAAAGGGACTCAAAACATTTCCTTTTCTATGCAATGTCCTTTGATCAAAAGAAGCCAGTAGATGAAAACAGTTCAGTGTCTGATTCCCCTCACAATATGACCTCCTATAGATGAACAACGCAGGCAAACCTTGGTATGGTCAAATTTGTGTGAAATGCTACATGGGATACAAACACTCACTTCTTTATTCAAGAAATGCTAACTATGGACCAAACATGTGCTGTGCCTTGGTGATACTGAATATTAATCACTGGCTTCCTGAAGCTTTTTGTTCAGAGCAGTTATAGAAAATCTCTCATCGCAGAAATCAGCTCATATGTAAAACAAGACAAATATATGCAATGTTACCAGAAAAATCTAAAGTGAATCTAATGATTGTATTATATGAGCTAGAATAATTGAGCATCTTAACACAGAAAAGCATTTCAAAGACTCAAGATAAAGTCAAGATTTGATACCTGGGTACCAGGCGAATTATAGTGCCCATAACAGAAAAGAACATACTGGGGAAATCCAAACTAATACCTAAGAAAAGATTCGGAGGTCTTTTCTAAGCATCTTGAATTTGGGTGATGGCTGACAGTTGAGTGGAAATGGGCCATGAAATGGCCATCCAAGCAGCCCTGGATCTTACAGATAAAACTTTTAAAATGCATTAATGTTAAGTAAGCAACATAGGATGGTATCTGGAACTTAACGGGAGTTCAAAATTGCTGTTAGAATTATTAGCATAGAAATCAGTTTTAAACACTGACTAAATTGAATGGGCGAGGTGGGGGAGGCGTGGTGCCAGTTAAATAGCCAAGAGAGGCTGGATTGGGGACAGAACAAGTATGCTTGATTGCACAAGAAATCAGAGATACTGGCACGGACAAGAGTAAGCCCATGTAACTGGTATCCGAAGAATTACTGCTAAGGTTAAGAGTAAGTGCGTAAGAGACAGAGGACACGTTCATTGGTAGAGCGAGAAAAATGAAACGAACGTAGTTGGAAATGATCTCTCCCCGCTCCTAACACTTAGGACAGAACACCTACTCAAGAGATTGAAGCGAGCACCAGAGCAGAGGGAAACAAGGCGTGCTCAACTCCAGAGGCTGCGCCGCGCTCCAAATAAAGGACCAGATCCCTTTGCTTCCTTCCACACCTTGCGAGGGTCCTCCGTCCCGCCCTGCGAGTAAATCATACACTTCGGAAGGTTAGCATTAGAAAGCCCAGCAGGGGAGAAAATTTTCTGCAAGTTAAAAAACAAAGAAAAAGAAAAAGTAGAACTAGGGCAGTCCGAAGAGACTGAAAGGGCAAAACTATCAAGCAAGAAAGCTGTAAGTTCTGATTAGTTTTATGGCTTTGCCTTCATGCCTCAGGAGCTCAATTGATCACGGCTTTCCCGACAGGCAAAGGTGGGTGTTGGGGGGGGGCAGCTTGAAAATACCCTCAAAACTCTCCTCCCGGTCCGCGCTTTAGATGCAAATGCCTCGCGGAGAGATGGATGGGCTGCAGCCCCTCCTACTTTCACCCCGCTTCTTATTTTCCTGCGAAGGAATCCATCCGTACAGATCTGTCAGGCGGGAGGTGGAGGAGGGTGCGCGCGTGTGTGTGAGCGCGCGTGGCGGCCGAGCGGCTCCGGCTTCTTCGCGTTCTTTTCCAGTAGCCCCCACCGGGTCTCCGGAAGGCGCGGAAGTCTCAGGGGCTCCACTGGCCGGCCTCCGACGGCGCAGACAGCCGGCGCCCGCCGCCCACCCACGCAGCCCTCTTCCCCCACCTCCCGCCCCGGCCCCGGCGCGCTCTCTCCTCCTCTCCCGCGCGCCCTCTCGCCCTCTCGCCCTCGCTCCGGCCGCCGCGCGCTCCCGCTGGCTCCGGACCCTGTGTCTCCGCCAACTGGGAGAGCCGGAGGGGCCCCTCGTCGTGCGCGGAAGCTACGGGCCCAGGGCACCCAATGCCGGGGCAGTGTCCTCGCGCGCCGCGGAGTGGGCTGTGATTGGAGGAGGAGCCCGTGCCGGGCGGGCCCGAGGGGGTGCCGAGCCGGTGCCTCCAGTCTGCCCCGCGCGCGGAGCTGCGCGTACTGGGTGCCCCAGAACCCGCGGGCGCCCGGCAGCCGAGCGCACGTCGTTTTGGATGCACACGCCCGGGTCCCTGGCGTCTGACGGCGCGGGGAGGGCAGCGAGGCCCCAGGTGAGTGTCGCTGCCCGTGCGGGGCTGGGGAGGCGCCGCCGGGCAGAGGTGCGCCCTTGCCGTGCGCCTTTGGAAGCAGGACTAATTAGTGAGCGGCGGGCGGGGGTGTCCGTGCGGAGTTTCCCTGGGCGTCCCTAAGTTACTGCGTGTTGCCGTGAGATGTGGCTCTGCGAGGCAGGACAGGCGTGTGGACCGAGCCGGGGGCGTTTGGCCCGGAAAGCCGGTGCTGACAGACACCAGGTGCGACGGGAGGAGTAGTGGTTGAGGGTAAGAGCGAATCCCGGCACTCTCCAGGTGCAGCGGCCAACATGGGCAGGCTGGAGCACTCTCCTCCGAGAGGAACGCACGCAGGCTCCTCCCTCGACCCCGGACTGCTGGGGGCACAACTCCGCGCCGGCTATGCCGCCGGGTTCTGCGGAGGTCTGAGACTGGAAGGGGTACGCGCCGCTGTGGGCAGGAGTCCTTTGAACCATCCGCGCTAGACAGCTTTTACCTTTCGTGAAGGTGGAGCTTACCTAGGGGTGCTTTGCTTTCCCCCCAGTAATTAGCATTCTCCTGATCTGGTTCATCTGCATCCTGCGTCCCTTCCGCCTGGCTGTACCTCTTTAAGTGTGCGCTGGGCAAAGGGCGCCCTGCTTCTCTGAATGCATGGTGCTTCTTCTTCTTCATGGGTGCACATGGTACACTGCTCGTTGCTGGTATTCAACCTTCCAGTGTGGATTAATGAGAAAAAGACCCGTTATTCTGTACCGCTTGACGTTTTAGATCGTTAACCTACGGATTTCTTAAATTTCATAGTTGAGGTGAGTAAAGATTGGCAGTGAGTTCACCAGCACCGGGCACATGGCAAACTGTTGAGAAACCGTCAAGATGGGGTGTATTAAGGCTTTGGAGATCTGCAAATTGAACCAGAAATGTACTTATAACATCTTCTGCTTTGCAATAAATATCTTGTATCTATTAGATCGTTTATTAAGTGAGACCTTTAAGTAAGACTTGTCCTCATAATTTCTGTAACCACCAGACAGATGTTCAGATCATTTTTCATAGAGTAAACAGAACTTTATACAAAATAAAAAGAGAAAAATGTAAGTGACTTGTTAATATATGGCCCTTGCCAAGTGACAAGTATGTATTTTTAAAAGCAGATAACACCTCACAAAAATGTGTATTTAAAGAGTTTAAGAGCAGTAGCAGCCTTTTTTCTAAAGGAAAGTTTGAATAGACACAATATCTAAGTAGTTTTAAGAGTGTCTTTATAAAGGCAAATTGTTAGGGGAAAAAAGAGCTAAGAAAAACAGTTGCATTTGAAGCTTTCGGTAACTCACCTAAAATTACTTCTTTCCTAAAGAACTAGTTAGACTTTGTTTTATTTTCATTTTAGTATATGTCAAGGGGAAATGCATGAAGAATCCTTTTCTTTATTTTTAAGGCTATTTGAAACAGTAGCAATTAAAATGCAAAATAATTGAGGCAGGTAGGCAGACTGGCAACTTTGTGGAAGTCTTACTTCTGTGTTAGTGTTTAATATGGTGTGGGATAGCAGAGAAATTAGGTAACATCCAACGTTAATAGTCTTATCTGGGAAAGCTAGCTGAGTCTGAGGACAGAAAGATAAAGAAAACAATAATCAGTAGCATATACTGTCACCCTGCTAAAAGCTATTAAGGTTTGCAGCTTTAATAAAAGGGCATTGTGCACTTACAACGTGAGATATTATTGTAATTAAGGGCTGCAAGAGGTCATTAGCATTGTGTTAACAATCACTTGACAGACTCACAACTCTTCTTAAGTCTACTTTTATTGATTTAATAGCACAGAGCTTTTCCCTTTCTTACTTAAGGATAATTGTAAAGCATCTATATTACTGCAATTTACCCTTGAATTGACTCTAGTGTTTAGTGTCCAATGAAGAAGAGAGGGTGGAGAGCACGCGGAGCTGGCCACTGTTCAGCCTTCCTTGGCCTAAAAATCAAATGACTGTCTCCTTGGGCACTGTTTCTTTACCGGTTTCCCTGTTATTCAGCATTTTTTTTTTTTGATGGTAAAGCTGATATAAACTCCTGAGAATGTATACTGATATGAGCAAGTGAGTACATTTTTGTGTTGAACAAATACATTTATGTCAAATATTTCAGAAATTCTTTACAAAATATTAAAGTCACAAACTGTTCTTTGCTGTGGATATTTATTGCTGAGTGATTCCAATCTTTCTCGATTTTATAAGGTTCTACATTTATTGCCTTAATAGCTTGTATTACATCACAGTTCTCTCTCTCTCTCTCTTACACACACACACAAATGACTTTTACTTGATTGGAAGGCTTCAAAGCCTTAGCTTAAATTGGAAGTTTCAGGAACTTCTAAAATAACTAACATGCATTAGTTGATTGCAAAGGGATTGAGATGGAAGCTTTTTCTTCTTCAGATGAAGGAATCAGTTGCTACTTGGTGGGATGATAAAGGGGAACTGAGGACAAGGAAAGACGACATGTGATCAGAGTCTTGTGTGTGACCATCTCCCCAGCCTCTGACAAGCAGAGCTTATCTAGCTGTAACCAGCAATACAAGAGTGCCTCCTCTGGGGATTTGCTGGTTCTGCAGAAAGATACCCCTGCAAGCACTTCCCCCTTGTTATTCTGCAAGTCTCACAGATAAAATTACCAGTGCAAATGAATATGCAGACATCTGTCCATATATTCATTTCAGATATAGTATAGATTTTCATTCTGATAGAATCTCTTTTCTGCTATTTTGCAAAGTGTTTACTGAAACATGATGACTTTTATTGAAGTCACATAAATCCTACCTGGCACAACGTAAATAAAAGGGTAAATTAAAAATTAAAGTTGATGCAGCTAAGATTTCTTGTAAGAATAAATTTTAAAAATCTCTGAATATAATTTTACTATTTGTTGTTACGTAAATAACTCAGAAACATTGTGTCTTGTTACTTTGTTTACTTTTAAATTTACGAAGTCTCCTCCTAGTTAATTATAAATGATTGTTTCCCCTTTTCTAAAATTCCTTTCACCCATGGCAAAGGTTGTGCTTAGTTGAAATTGAATCTGTAATCCACTTTGAGAAGTTTTCTTTCTGTGTTTGATAACCAGATGCACACTACAGGCTATGTGATTCATTTCCAGGGCCCCTGCCTGCATATTTAGGCCAGTTAACAGTAGGAGGTTGTGGTCTGTGGTTGTAATGTTATCTGGCCCAGGGAGCTAATGGACTTGATCGCAGTTTCTTTACGTGAGAAGTCACATATCACAGAGAGTCCCTAGCCTCACTAATTTAACTGTAAAAAATTATACCTTTTAAGTACAAAAGAGAGGGTTCTTTCATCAAAATTAAAATTGTTGAATGTAATGTTAACTTTAACTGGTATACAGATGAAACAAATTGATGCTAGCATCTTACTATACTGGAAACTGAAGACAGCAACATTAAACCTGGGATGATTATAATGGGAATATCAGGAGCAAAGAGTTATCTCAAAATATAGGACTTATATCACAAACCAAAAGGATACAATAGGAATGATACTTATTTTTCCAAACAAAATAGCCCCATACGTACATTTTTATATCCTAAGGTATTGTCCTCAGTTGGTACCCTATTAATAAAATGTTCAATGGGATATTATTCAAATTTCAGTTGAAATAGTTAGCTACCTAGTGTCATTATTTAGTAGGAAGTTAGTTTTGGATTCCAGAGTTGTTTAGAAGGGAAAAGGCAATTTTAAATTTGGGAACTGCTAACTCTTCTTCTCCTCTTTTTTTTTTTTTTTTTTTGTTTGTTAGAAACATACAACTCTTGACAAATAGGTTTATTCACCCTTTCTTCTTACTCTGTACTCTCTGCACTTCTGAATGGTAATTATGGTTACCATTACCTACTTAGGAAATTTAAACTCATGGTCATATAAAAATTTAAGTACAGTCAAATCTACTTTGTTTGGCTTTTAGGAAAGACGATAAGCTCTAAGGATCACACATTGCAAAAGCACTCATTACCAGATGAGCAATTTTTAACAAACACTTTACTCATTGCATCTAGTTATGCAATGGATACTGGATCAGTACCTAGCTGTGTGATCTTGGGCATTTCACTGGGAATCTGTAGATTTCTATTTTGTTAAAAGTAAAGAAAGGGCTGCTTTGTTTTTTCTCATGTCTGTTGCAGTTCAAATATGTCATCAGTCTGTGGTTCTACCACTTTGGGAGTCTTCAAACTGAATTCAAGGCTTTTAAAATGTTTTTCCTTTAACATGAACCCAATGAAACCAAACTATTATATTCTTCAGTATTGAAATGGCATCCTCTTTATCTACCTCTTAGATGTTGTCCTGACTAGTGTGGCTGGTAATGTTGTGGTGTGTAATAAAGTGTGGCTACAGCTCTGAAAACACTCTCTGTCCTGGACTATTTTCTCTCTAGTGTTGTATTCTGACACCTGCTCAGTCATGAATGGGAGAAGATTAGAATATATTTTTTCCCCTTTGGCATACCCAAAAATGTATTAAGGAGTTCTACATTAAAAACAGGCAAAAGCAGCAATGAATAAGTACTGTCCTTTACACAAAGCAGACTACTCTAACTTTGTGGACTGAGATAAATCACAGGGAGGACCTCAGTAGTAACAGGTGGTGGCTGTCCTGGGGACACAAGGGCAAATGAAATTCTTCAGAGAAGACACTGGATGAATCAGGAGTCAGCCTCTTCATGGAATTTAAATAAAACCATTAGATACCCAAGGAATACCTAAAAAGAAACAGATTTATTTTCCCAGACTGTACAAAAACAAAAAAACAAACCAAAACTATTAAATAGAAGGTTGGTCTTAAAACAGTGGTAATATCTTACATAGTTCCCTCACTGTGCAATGGTATCATTTCCACGTTTAAACATGAACATCTTTCACCCTACTTAAAGATTCATTAAACACATGCTGTCTGCATGTAGTTCAACCTTAAAAGAGTCTTGGAAATGACAGTTTCC